TACAGGCCTCAGTAGGCGGCTGTGATTGACTGAATCTGAACAGACCCTCGCTGAGCCTTATCCACTTCCTGTTCTGTGCATTTTAGACAGGAAATCCTCTTCTCCAATGTTATCTACAAAGAGATGGAATCACTTTCCCTCTGCGCCACTTCTTTAAGAGAATAAGCACTTAAACGTCCAAGAAAACAACTCTGGGAAAATCTGTGATAAAACTTTTTCCTCTCACCCAATCCCACGCATCTCTTTATAATGAGCTAAAGCCGACGCTCGCTCAAGGACTGTTTATTTCAGGAGCCTGACACTATGAAACTTCTATTAGCTTTCATTTAGAAATGCAAATGTTAGTTTGGGCTTTGTTTTGATTCACGGAGGGTGTCGGGCCTTTCAGATGGAGTGATGTGACGGTCTGAATGTGAATGCATTACTCCGTTTACTGAGATTACAGGCCTCGCAGCCAAACACCAATGAAAGTATGCAATTTATTCCAGAGGCACGACAACAAATATTACAACGTATTTCACAAAGGCTTGCTTCTAAGTGATATGCAAAGCAGCGTGAAGCTCCAAACTCCCTATTGAAAATATACGCAGGGTGATTTGCATGCAATCAGATGTCAAGCAGGTACGTTTGCGACAAGGCTTATTACTCTGCTTTCTGAAATAAGCATTTTATTTTCATTTTAAAAAGGAAAGACGACTCGGTAAACTGCACTCTCTGTTTAAGATGTAACTTATAGTTTAATACACATTTGTTTATTCTTTCAGCCTGGAGAACAAATAGTTAAAACTAGTATATCTTTTGGTTGCAGGTTGTTGCTAACTAGTTTAGCTCAGATTTATTTTCAGAAATGTGATATGAATTGCACAAACGCATCTTCTGGGGTTTTTGTGCACACTGCAGAAAATAGAAAAGCTTATACCATCAGTAATATATGAAACATTTATGTGAATCTCGCAGGACAGTCAAAAGCAGTTTCACATTCAGTACGTCAGGACGTTCAGGAGTGAAAGGAGCTGAACAGAACTGTCACAGAAAGCATCAGTCACAACATTTTCCAATGTCATAAAACAAACATTCCCACATCGCTTTTTATTTTCTTTTTTATTTGATTGTTCTCTTTGTTCAAGCAAAACAAATATGACAAATAGGGTATATGTTTTATTATGGAGTTTTTCATATTGGTTGTTTTTTTTTTCTCGGTTTTAGCTGTTTTTGAATTACGCATTGCATTGGGTTGTGTTTTATTGCTGAAGGAAATGTCTGTAAACTTAACGGAATATGTATTGTTAATTTTCTGCCAGGACATATATGTTAACTGAAAAGTTGCTGAATAAGTATTCATACTTATAATGTAATAATTTAATTATTAATAAAAGTACATAAAATTATACAGTATTTACAAATCATAATGCATAATATTTAACAATTTTCAGAGTTGCTGAATAAATATACATACTTATATAATTTATATTTAAAATGTAATAATGATTAATAAATGTATAATGTACAGAAAGTATACAGTGTTTATATTTCAAATAATGCATAATATTTTTATAATAAGAATATGTAACAATATATGTATTATTATTATTATTATTATTATTGTTGTTGTTGTTGTTGTAATGATACAAAAGACTACATAATTAATTGATGATATATAGAAGATATAGAGTTATTGAATAATTACTACTTACTGTAATAATTTAATTATTAATAAGTATAAAAGTACATAGAAGTATACATTATTATTATTATTATTATTATTATTATACTATCAAGCTAAGACTATATAAGAGGTAATATATAGAATATATTGAACTGAAAAGTTACATAATACTTACTGTAATAATTTAATTAATAATAAAAGTTATATATACAGTATTTCAATTTAAAATAATTTAAAGTATATGTATATTAGAAGAAGAAACTGAAAAAGCGTAGCGCCAGACACAAGTCCAATTCAAAAAAGATACATACACTTCTGGCGGTGCGTAGATCCAAAAATCGCTCAAACAAACGAACAAAAAAAAACAAATAAGATCCGCACACGAATAATAGGCCACAAAGCTCAAATATTTTATGTATAAAGTACATGTATATTAAAATATATAAGGATAAATTAAATGTATTATTATATTAGAATACCCTAGTAATATTTATGCATAGTAAATGAATGAATGAATGAATGCTAATATTGTTGTGGATTCACGCACTGCAGTACACTCGGGACAGAGCGCTGCCCTTTTGCTGCCACCAGAGACATTGGCACAAGGATTCGTCAGATTACTGCGCGCTGCGTAACCTCGTGGCTGATCTCATGACAGTCGGGCCGCTGGGAACAATCCTGCTGGGAGAACAGCAGCTGGTCACCTAACAATCCCTTCCCACTGCATCCTGGGAAAGTTCACACAGCCTGAGAGACATCTGTCAATCAGTGCCTTTACCGCCACTGACGAGCCAATTAACCACCGCCGGAATAAACCCAGAGAGAGTAATTACTGTTTAGAGAAGACACGCTGGCCTTTCGTAGCATTTCCTTAACTAACCGCTAACCATTACATAACCACCAGAGGAGCAGAGCGATGGCGGTGATTCTTCAGTGTGAATACAGAGTGAGTTTCCCTTATTCTTCATACACTGATGGATGTTCATTGGTGAAATTGTCATAAATACCGTAAAACCAGCCATGAATCTGGAGAACAGTTAGAGAACAACAACAGCACAAACGGAGGCGTTTTGGAATATTTATCTTCCATATCTAAAAAAAAAATAATAAATAAAAAAACACTCACTTCACCACAACAAATGTAGGTCAATCCTCTGCATCAGACAGACAGCATCTGAGACACACATCATAAAGCTGGCATCAACACAGAAGAGGAAAAACACTGAAACTACTTCTGTCTGGAAGACTCAAACTTTTGGAACTTTTAGTCCATGTCTACATTAGGGCTGTGCGATATGGACAAAAAAAACCTATCGCGATTTCTTTGATCAATTTTGCGATTTCGATTTTAATCACGATTTTGACACACACAGACATGCTTTACAGTCATTAATGCATTCAGTGTGAATTTGAAACATATTTCCAAAAGAAAACCAATTAGAGCTTTATCAAGAAGCTGTAACATGTCTCTAGAACAGACATAAGGCAAAATAATCACGAAGTAAAAGTGTAACAAAATGTCTCTAGAATAGACATATATGGCAGAAAAAAAGAAAAAAAAATCCAGTGTCCAGGGATTTTTTTTTGCCATGCAAATCGCGATTTTATGACGATTTCGATTAATCGCATAGCCCTAGTCTACATGCTACTCAACTTCTAAAAGATGACAACTTCTTAGCAAAATCCCAAAAAGGGATTCAGCCTATCCATAGTGGCATATGCATTGCTCCTTCCTCTAAATACCAACTAGTTGCATTAACAAGTTGCAAATCATGGTTCTGCAGACCTTAAATGTAAACTAAAGACTAAAGGCTGTTGGAAAAAAAAAATAATAATAATGGACTATGTTTCACATCAAAGTTATTTCTACTTGTTTTTCTTCATAAAGGTATAAAGTGCTGTTTTCATGTTGCATGTTTTCTTTTACACTCCCAACACAAATTACTATATTACTGTTGCTGGAGCATCTATATCATAAAACAGAGACCATATATTAACACTAAATCCTTAGACCTTTCAAAAGATAATTTGTTAACATTAATGATATTTTTAGACAGTAGTTTAACATAATAAATGTAAACAAAGTCTCCCGAACTTCCTGTTTCTCCTTTTGAAAAAGAAGTGTGCTTCTTGTAGTGCACTTTGAAGTAGTACTTCAAGTACTTTGAAGTACTTTGTAGTACTTTGAATCATTAAAGTAGGCCTATATTAAAAATATACATATAGATAATATAATATGAATGAATTAAAAGGTCACTTAATAGTATTTAAAGATAGACACTTTAATGACTGTTTCTTAACCCATTTAATTACACTTTTAAAAGTGCAATTTCTAACAACATCGGATTTAAAAGACTTACTTTAAAGTACATTTTAAATCATTTTGTTTTAATAATAATCATGCTTTATAGAAATACACTTACTTTGATGTGTTCACTAAATAACATTCTAAAGTACTTAAAATTTAACTGTAGTGTTATTTGATATTGCATTTGATTTAAATGTACTAAATTGCAATTTCATCATTGCACGTGTATTACAAATATAGTTAAATTCATCACATGCATGTTTCAGTAGAAATTACAGTAAAAGCTTGTTCAGTGCATTCAGCAGTACACTCAATTACATCTAAAAATTGAAGTGCATCAGAACACTCTAAAGTTCAGCTTAATTGCAGCAGTTTCTAGTATAAAGTTGACTTTTCTTTCCCTTAAAAACCCAGATGAATTCAGAGATTCTGTGCACGTTGAGGGTGGATCTGACATGATCCGCGATAATAAAGAGCCCGCTGGTTATTAAATTTTCCCATCCAGAGAATTATCAATGATTTACCTTGCTATAAAAGCAGCCGCTGGGACTCAGGTGAGAAATCTGATAACACAGTTTGTTTGACTTTCATTTTTTTTCACACTACAAAAGGTGGATGAAAACAGCTTTTCATTTTCAAAACTTTCAGACGTGAACAAATATAAAAGAGACAGAGGTCTGCAGAGAAACTTCCTTTTTTCTCAGCACAATAAAAGAAACTAAGAAGCTTCAAAAGTGACGGTGCCCTTCACCCTATCCAACCTTACAAAATGAGAAATATTTGACAGCTCACAACAGCGAGAAAACACACTTTAGCTTGCATTATGCAAAGCTTTGCAATTACATAGCCAAGGTTGCGTCTTTCAAGTCAAGAACATGTCACATCCCGTCCCGTTACATCAGCCAAGCATTGCTTAACTGCCCTGACAAACACTCAAAATCTCAGCAATAAAAGCAGCCTGTGCATCACGTCACGGCGATTCTGAAGGATGGAAGTCCTTGGCAATGAGAAGCTGTGAGCGCTTACCTGTCTGCAGATGGAGGGCGTCCGTTGCGGGGCTTGTTGACCTGTGCGTAAAGAGCCTCTAAGGGCAAGGCCTGGTCTCGGGGGCTCTGAGGACGCTCTGGACCGGGGTTATGGCTCAGGTCCATACTGCTGTCCAGGGACGAGTCCAGAGAGCCGATCCCGGCGTAGGTGTGCTCCTCGTCGGAGCTGAAGTTTCGGCTGATGTCCTGGATCTCAGCGTAGTCTCGTTCTCTGGCCTGTCGCTCTCGGAGCTCCCTGGTCTTCGCTTGAATCCTACAGACACGAAACATCATTTGAGGTTAGATGTGTAGAGCACACTCAAGTTCAGTGGCAACATCTCTCTTTTCGCACTGGTTCTGTACATTTGTGTCTTCAACATCAACACATTTACTGAACTGAAGTGAATGAACACTGAACTGACTTGAGCTGGATAATGCTGAAGAAGTTTGATTCTGTTATTTTATTCCTGCATGTTACTGTGAAGCTGCTTTGAAACACTTTGGCCTGCTTTCACAGTCAGGGTTTAGGTTAAGCCAGGTTTAGGCCATAGTTCAATTAGGACATTTAAGTAACTTTTATAAAAGTGCCTTAGAAAAATAAACATTCCTGGTGTGGATCTTGAGACAAATCGATAGTACTACTAACATATTTTAAAATATGTCAGTGCAAGTTCCTTAGAGTTAAAACAGCTCAGACATGCATTTTAGTCTGGGACTAGGCTTAAGCCTTGTCTGTGAAACCGGGGTTTGTTTTGTATAAAGCGCTATAGAAATAAAGGTGATTTGACATGACTCGTGTGAATCTAATAATGCATTCAAAAACACATAAGTAAAATTCATACATACATAATAGACTATACCTCTTTTATAATGGATATGTTTTTGTTTGTTTATTTTAATTAAAAATGCATTTTGATATATTTTGGGGGACACAATCTCAAAAATGTAAAGGTGAATAAAACCTTAAAACAATTACTCAAAAAATAAGGTTGAGTAGTTTGGATAATCTTTTGTTTGTTTGTTTTGGCTAGTGAAGTAGTTTCTTTAAAAATATTCTAAACTTGTTCGCTAAATCAAACAGGAAATTATATCATAGAAGGTGTCTTAAAATATGTTTTAATGTATCTGATAATATGGCAAGGTTAGTTCAGTTTGGAAAATGTAATGTGGTACAACCCCCCAAAAACTAAATGATCAAGTTAAGAATTAATAATCCATGATATTAAAAATAAAAAAATACAAAATAAAATGAATGAATGAATGAATAAATAAATAAATAAATAAATAAATATTCAAAACAAAAGCTTGAGTAGTTTGGCATTTTAATTTATTTATTTTATTTTTTGGTCAGTGAAGCAGTTTCTTTACAAATATTATAGACTTGTTTGCTAAATCAAAATGTCAAAATCTGATTAAATGATTGAATGATTAAGTCAAGAATTAATAATCCATGATATTTGTTCAAAAAATGTATATATATATATATAAATTATTTATTTATTTTCAAAAATAATGATGATAAAACTGTACATTCAAATGCTTCAAGGTGTAAGGTTATTGCTTGTTACCTGATGGACACACCACATTTTCACAGTTAAACTCAGTTTCACCCCGTACTCTAGTGTGAAAATGCCCTGTGGGTTATACCTTGGGATTCATTTCCACCTTTGTGATTCTGCCCTCAAAAAGCACCATCAAAAGCAATAGCTTGTAGTCCGTCAGCAATGTGTAACATCTATTACAGCTATGAAGAGCCAAAGCTTTTATGTGAAAATGCAACGAATTGTAAGACAGACCTCTTGGTCTTGCTGAGACTCCCTACTGCACGAAAAATCCCTGAGCTCAGGACCCCTGCTGGCATCACGGGCTGCTAAACGCCTGCCAAACCTGCTTTATTTCTAGAAGCCTTTCACTACTACTGGAGTCCTCTAAAAGGAAAAGGAAGCGAGACTGCTGAGGCCCCGTTCATTCGAGCCTCTACTTCTAAATCGCTCATGGTAAAGGTTGCGTCCCTTTCCTTGAAGAAGGTTGTCAATGCACAGATTCCCTAAAACAGCCAGTGGGGAACCTTCCCAAGAAGAAGGGAGTGATTTCTTCTTCACATCACTCTGATCTTCCGCCAAACGCCTCTCTCTGCCTTCCCTCTTTCTCAGGAGTTTTTCAAAGGCCAGTCCTGGTGGGCTGAACTGAATGAGTCTTTTTGTGTCTAACAGACCACATGTGTCGTTCTAAGTGCTGTTGAGGGAAAGGAGATCCTCAGGAATGGGAACGGCAGTGGAAGAAGAGGAAAGGCTGGTGCGGACAGGAGAAAGCCTCCTGTAGGGTGACCTCTGTCTTTGGTACCCACCCGTCTCATCAGATCCAGATGGGCACTGGGACTCGAGGGATGCCCCATCACAAAACCTGAGCATTTCTAAGTGTTTAAGTACCCTACCTCCTCACCACCCCAGGTCAGAGTTGACCTCTGATCCCTAACATCAATCTGTCAGTTGTTTGATTGACAGCAGTCCCGGACCAAAAAGAGTTGTCGGATTTTCCCAGCGAAAGACTGAATGATTCCACACTTTCTCATAAGCCCAATCTAATTTAACAACAATGAGCGTTTTCTCTCAGTCACAGGCTAATACAATTACAATGCCACTGACTGTCTCTCTCTCTCTCTCTCTCTCCATCCCGCTTGAGGAAATCCAACTGGCCGTGCTAGAATCGTGCGCATTTACAGTATGACTCACGGTAATAGTCTAGGAAACACTTGGAAATCAACATCAGCATATTTCCATAGGTGTTTGTGTGCATTGTAGGAGTTTTAATTTCCCTTTCTGATTTTATCCTGCCTTTTGGTTTACCGGGTTCATTGCTTGAACCGTTAAGGATAAGTAAGGATGCACTGATATATCGGACAATAATTGGTATTGACCGATAAAAACAATCTGCACTATCAGACTTCAGCCTACTGTTTAAAAACAGCCAATGATCAGGGCCAAATAAATACTGTCAATCAAAAGGGGGCGGAAAAACATCTCAGACTATAACTGGTGCATGAAGAAAATGTCTCTTGTGTCGAAGTTAGGGCTGTCAAAGTTAACGGGATAATGACACATTAATGCAATCTCACTTTAAAACAATAGCGCAGTTGACAGGTTCTATTTGACATTGTGGATCACCTGTATTTCAAGCCAGGGTTGCCAGATTCACAGTTTTTCCCTTCACCAAACAACGTGCCTCTCATCTAATAATCGCAACGAGCTTTGTGCTTATTACTTCTGATTAGAAACTAAGTCTCAGCTCTCAAATTCTGTTTATTTTATAACAAAATTCAACAATAAATGCCGTTTTGGTGCGCTTAGGGGCCAGAACTCGTCGTTGCGTCTTAAAACACGAGACGCAGCACTCAGGAATGGTTTAAAAAAAAAAAAAAAAAGCAACACAGAATTCCGCCATGTTGTCGTCAAATAAAACAGTTGGCATGCCAACTTGCTACTATAAACAAAATCATGCAACGCTTGCCCCGCCTCCTGGGTCTTCTGATTGCTCAACTGTTTTGAAACTCAAACTGATGAGCGGCATTGCGTGTAAAAGTTGAAATTCTTTTAACTTTAAACACCGTCTTAAAAATGCGGTGCTCATGTGCGAGACGCTGCTAAAGAAGCAGGACACAATGGTCATCCTCGTCCGTTTTGAGCATTTACATTGATAAACAATGGAAAAGTAGAGCATTGAATGTAGAGCATTGGAAAATAGAGCATTGGAATGAAAAAAACGCATTCTTTGTGAATGGCCCCTTAAATGTGGCATGACAGAATACTGTAACGCTTCAATTCAAGCGGCAGCGCGTATCTCTTCCTCTTTAATAAACATGCATGAACATCAGAAAATAATGAAAGACACAGTATAACTTTCTGAAATGTTTCATTGCTCGTTTTGTGTTTAATCCGCAGAAAGACAGCTTGATAACAATATTTAACTTAATGTTTACCTCAGGAAATTAACAGTGTTCACAGTTGGTTAGTTAGTTCTAAAAACACTAGAGAGGAGCTTATTTACTGTCAAGTATATATGTATGTTGTATACAATTTTTTTTTTTTTTAAGTGTGATTATTTTATCTGAATATATATATATATACAGTGGGTACGGAATGTATTCAGACCCCCTTAAATTTTTCACTCTTTGTTATATTGCAGCCATTTGCTAAAATCATTTAAGTTAATTTTTTTTCCTCATTAATGTACACACAGCACCCCATATTGACAGAAAAACACAGAATTGTTGACATCTTTGCAGATTTATTAAAAAAGAAAAACTCAAATATCACATGGTCCTAAGTATTCAGACCCATTGCTCAGTATTTAGTAGAAGCACCCTTTTGATCTAATACATGTGTGTGTATTCCTTAAGAAAACCAAACTATACTGGGTTTAAACAATTTTCACGTTTACAATTAATTACAAAGAACTGGCAAGTAACAGATGATTTTTTGAGGTATAAAGACTTAAACAGTATTTTCTTGTAAAACATACTCTAATGATCTTTGTTTTATGCATTTTTAAAATCATTTCTTACAAGTGTATCAGTATAAGCAGATGTCATTCTGAATAATCAGCTATTGGTATCGCCAGAGAAATTTAGTATCTGTGTATCTCTAGTTACAACTTGTTTCTTTGGCATTTGAAGGCTGATATCTTACACTGTGAGGCCGCCATCCACCTGCTGTCCACTTAAAAACTGATGTCACTTCGCTGCCAGTAAAAACCGTGTTCGGACAAGTTACAGAAACTCAATAGGAGGACGAGGCCTCCGGCGCTGTGCCTATAATGGCCAAATCAAATCTGCGAGAGCGCTATCTGTGTTTGAATGAGGTAATGAGCACACTGAAGTACAGGTCCAGTCTAACCTGTCCCTGGAGTACCGGACTGAAACTCATTTAGCGCGGTGGCCTGGGGATGAGAAGTGGGCCGTGTGGCTCTGTGTGTGTTTTGTGTATGACAGAAGGTTAACTTCAGGTTGAAAACCAGCACGATGAAGACACTGATCTGGGCTATGAGATTCTTTTTAACACCGTATCCTATAACCAGCCACAAGCCAAAATCATCGCACGACGAGGCATTTTGCTTGGTTTCTATTTTTATTGTGGGTCAATGGTAGATCCATGCACAATGGAGTGTTATTTTATTATTATTTCTACAGTCAAACCAAAATTTATTCAGACACCTTCAACATTTCATGCATTATCACAGTTTATTCGCTATAGTTTAGAAAATGGTAATAAAATATGA